AATAGATATATGCATATGTACACAAACACACACACACACACACACACACACACACACACACACACACACATACATATATATGTATATACATATATACATACACACACACATTCATACATATATAGTGAATACATACATAAACTTATTTGCATATATGTGCGTACGTATATGCTTTTGTAAATTGATAGGTACGTATAAATCAAAGAATTTCAATATTCTCTCTCTCTCTCCTCCTCTCGCCTCTCTTCCTCTCTCCCCCTCTCTCTCTCCCTCTCTCTTCTTTCTCTCTCTCTCTTTCTCCTTCTCTCTTCTTTCTCTCTCTCCCTCTCTCCCTCCCTCTCTTCCCGAGACTCAGTCTTTATCTTTTCTCTCTCTCTCTCCCTCCCTTCCTCCCTCTATGAATGTTTTGTATATTTATGAGCTTTGATAACTGTTCTGTACATCTTTGATCTTCATGAATGTTTCCTGAAGTTTGGTTGTGTGGGTACAAACGGGTACAAACGGGTACAAACGGGTTCAACAGGGACTCAAAGGGAGGAACAGGCCAAGCCACGTTAATAAGGGTGAAATCTGCGACTCAACTATGTTAGGGTGGTAGGAAAGAGAGGAAGAATTAGACGTTAGAAGTTAGAAAGGGGGGGGGGGGGAGGCTGTCAAGAATGGAGATCGAGAAAGATATACACAGTTTGAAGTTCAAATCTGGATTTAGGCGATTTCACAGTCAAAGCTCGGTTCGCCTTTGACCTTCGTATCCGATTTTTTGGCAATAAAATCTGCGCTTCCCCCTTCCGGAGTCAGAACAGAACCGAAAAATACTTTAAAGGCAGGAAGTCCGAGGGAATTGCAAATTGTCGTGAGAAAAAAAAAAAGAAAAAAAGTCCATAATGTCTTTGTATTATAATTTCAGCCTGAATCGGTTATTTCCTCGAAGGCTTTTTCAGTGCCAATAAAAAAAAAAAAAAAAAAAAAAAAAAAAAAAAAAAAAAAAAAAAAAAAAAAAGTCAAGCACTTTGATTTCCTCTCTAATGGCTGCTGAAGGACTCTAATCAACTTAGGTCGAAAATCGTTATTCTGTATCATGGTAGCGCGCTGCTTAAGCAGCTTCCAATATGTGCTTCGCGCGTGAAGAAGATATTTACGATCATCTCGCCAACTTTTTGCACCCCATCTGACGCATTGGCAATTTGGCCACTCACCTGCGTCATATGCCAGGCATACGACCGCCAGTACTCTCATATGACGATGAGGAATGAGGAACTCACCGATACCACTGTGACGAGAGTACACAATATTGATCAAAGAACACCATACGAAAATCACGATGAATATCTACAGGACCAGTTCAACCCCATACACCTATCCCTGTCACTCCGTTCAATATGAAACGTAGATACAAGTCGAGACGCAATGAAAACGATAGATACAACGTATATGTAGCGAGCACAACAGCAGACTCTTTACAGAATTTAACGAGCAAGCGAGATGAATCGATGTGTCTCCCTACCCTCTCCCATGACTGCGCCCTCAAAATAGAACGCGAGAGTTACACCGGAGAGTAGTCGACTAGCACTGCTTCAACGCCGGAGTAACAGCCGGGTAAACAAGATTATTGAGACTCGATCACTGCCAGGAGACATGAGACCAAGCTGGGAGAGAGAGATTGCAGGGCGCATTGCAATAGTGGCGCAAACCGGCATTTGACCACAACAGCTGCACATACGATCTCTGACTGCAACGAAGCGACCAAGTGATTGAGGAGCCAGTTAGTGTATAAGCACGCCGGCGGAGCGTCCAGAAGGAGTGACTTGAGCGAGTCATTGACCAGTGCCAAGGAAATACTGAGAAGGTCGTTAATCTGGCGAAGCACAACCCTGTATTTTGTTTCGCGGTCGTGATGGTATATGATCTGAATTGATCGTACGGTGGATAATGAACCTGGAACTTCTTTTGTTTTGATATTGTTTTTCCTGTCTTCAGATCTCATTCCGTGCCATCAGGCTGAGGGTGATTGTGTATTGTGAGCGAGCATATCGGAGTCGGGCAGAGCGTCGAGTGATGAGTCGGGGGGGCCAGATAAAGGAGTGATAAGAGACAGGATATGTTGAAGAAGCGGGTGTTTTGATGACGTGTGTGAAAGGAGAAGGATATAATAAATATAAATGATAAGAAACACAGCCAGACACCAACACACGACACAGCACAACAGAGCGGACACAGCAGCCACACACACCACAGTATAAGGCTAGTATAGTATGTAGGTGTATGGTAGTAGTAGGTATATAGTAGGTATAAGTATAAAAAGGGAAGTAATATATAAAAGAAGATATATTAAAAGATGAGTGTGAGTGAGGGTAAGGAGGCGAGGTGAAAAGGGAAAGGAAGATGGGGGAAGGGTGTTGGAGGGAGCGAGGAGGCGAGAGAGGGGGCGCAGAGAGAGGAGGGGTAAGTGATGGAAGATAGATAGAAGAGAGAGAGAGAAAGGTGGAGAAGAGAGGTGAGGAGGTGCGTGGTGTGTTAGTGGTGGGTGTGTGAGAGTTGGTCGTAGTATGATGTGTAGCAGATGAGAGATGTGAAGTGTGAGAGAAGACAGTGAAAGTGAATGATAAAAATATGTCAAGAAGGAAGGAAGTAAGCGAAAAGGAAAAAGAAAGAGGGAAAAAAGAAAGTAGAGCTGTGAATATAGAGTGTGTAAGTTGTAAGTGAAAACGGAAGAAATGAGGAATAAAGCAAAGAGAGCTAAAAGAGGTAGATGTTTGTGAGATGAGGAGAGAGGCAGGGGTAGAGTATACTATCTTATAACAAGATGTGCAGAACGGAAAGAAGAGAAAGAGGAAAGCTATAAAAATAGGAGTGATTTCAATGTGGATGCAAAAACGAAAGAAAGGAAGGAAAAAGGAAGCTAAAACGAAAATGGAAGTGAAAGAAATGAAATCGAAAGAAAAGGAAGAAAATAGAAAAGAGGAAGCTAAAAAATAGAAGTTAAATCNTATATATTATATGTATATATATATTATATATATATATATATATATATATATATATATATATCATATATACGTATATGTATATATATTATATATGCACATGTGTCTATGTATATAAGTATAGATATATGCATACACACACACACACACACACACACACATATATATGTTGTGTGTATATATATATACATATAAAAATATGAAAGTAAATACCTTTTACAGGGATGAAATAGACCATGCAGAGAGGCAAAACTTGCTGATGCCATGAAAGCAGATGGCTACAAACCCACAACGAAGAAAATTGATATGTCTCAGCTTTTCCAAATATTGACTGTCAAATCTCCCGAAAGTAAGTGTATGCGATAAGTGAGTTCGCATTGGTGTAATACAAAACAACCTGCACATTTACTTTTCTCACCAATATATTAATCTTATCTGCTTGGGTCTTCTCGCATTCCAGAATATGCCAACAAGACTCTGTATGAAGTCCTCCACGACAGAAACACGTGGCAAGAGGGGGTCGTGAACCATCTGCAGAGGGAGGTCGAACGCGGGGAGCACTCGCTTTCTGTTTACCGAGGAATGTCAATATGAACAGCATGAAACCCCAGGTAAATCTACGTTTGTGAATTTGTTTTTCTCTTTTGATAATGACAAAAATGTAAGCTTTTCATGTAGATGGGAGAAATGAGCTTCCTTACGGAAGATCAGACAATGTGGACGCTAAAGTCCTTTTGATATAAATGGTAAAATGCTGTATGTTAAATGAGTAGCTTGAAATATTTGTATAATGCTTGTCCGTCTTTGGCTGACTCCTTGGGTTGTGCTGTAGGTTTACTTCTTATGTTGCCTTCAGGAATGTCTTTCTAGTTGTCTTCTCGGGGTATTTTTGTGCTGTCCTCTCGATCGTTCTCTAAAGGCCTTTCGCACGTATGCAATCTCGAACGCAACACTTGCAGGGCTGCGATTCATACATTATTTGAGTGCATAATTGCTCTACATTGTCTAGCCATCATCAAAGAAATGCGCGTAAAACGCGTGTGAAAACAATGCATAATTTTGTCTGCCTCATTGTGGGCAGGGGCCGTTGCAAAAATCAGGCAGGAGTGCTTTAAAAGCCATGCACCAGTCTCGGTGATCTACCAGCTATTGTGCTGCTTTTATTTTATTTTGGACAGCATTTGTGCAGTCACTGGGCACAGTATTAAAATTTTAGCCATTACTGCGGTTGCCCAACTACTGCACGGCAGCTGCACAATAAGTGCCAGCCGAGTGCTTATGTCAAGGCATCATCCAACATCTCTGCAAAGAGATCCAGGTAGGCTTCTTTGTCTAACAACACCTCTATGGTCCAGCTGCAATACGATTGTACTGATTATAGCGTAGAAACGTTGTTACGCCCCCTGTGTTTACATGAGAACTGCACGGATGTCATTATGTACTGTACCTGTCAGTCACTTTGCGTCCACCAACTGAGCAGCATTCATTTAGCAACATTCTTTAATGTTCCGGCCATGGAACTCGGATGCCGGGCAGCTGTCGTGCGGGCATCGTTATGGTCGTGAAACTTCCATCCACCATTCGGTCTGTGCTTGTCCAAACATCGCGCCAAACTCTGGACGCGGGGACGGGCCGCAGCACCGATTTCAGCGATGCCAGAGAGAACCAGCGTCGTCGCGGTTTCGTCCCAAGGTCGCCTGCGTGTGAGGCTTCTTTCGGCTCGCAGATTGCCTTTCGTATTGTGCTCTGGAGTGATCTTTGGGCTGCTTGAGTTGCCTTCGCCTCCTCGGCTGGCCTCGAAGTTGTCTTCTTGGGTTACCCTTTGTGTTAACTCTTGGAATGCATTTTTGTGATATCTTCTTTAGTTGTCTTTCAAGATGTCTTTTAGTTGTCTGTTTGCGTTGTCCTTTAAGGCAACTGATAAATCGATATGATTCTTGAATTAGTTTCTTTGACATATTTAAGTATAACAGCACATCACCAGTGTTAATAATAATCATCACTTTTCAGGAATGACCTATCCCAAATTCGAGGCTCTTAAACCTGAACCCAAGTCATGCAGTAAAAATCAAGGTAAATTCATACCTATTTATATATTGGCCATTTAACAATCATTTGTTATTTCTCCGATAAATAAGGAAACCTGTCTTTTTTACACTTAACTGATATCATCTAATTTTAAAACTATGTCATGCATTTGAAAAAGATATTTCTGTTGCATTTTTACCAATTTATTCTATATCATCTATGGTAAGAATCTATGGTGTCTTTACTTCCTTCTCCATAACAGAGTTAGCTGGTTCTCTCATGCATCGCGCCGTCCTGGACACTGAGGGCAAATACGTCATGCTGTGGACTCCAGGGGAAGAGGATATTACTTTCGAGATCCAAGTGAGTGGGTGCGCTGGTCTGGAATTGACTGCAAACTGTAGACAATCAAATTCTTGGCACATAGTTTTTGGATTCTTTATGATCAGGAAGCTAAACCCCTTATTAATTAATTTATTGCTTTATGATACAGGATTCCAAGTTCCTGTTATATAATGTCCCAAATACTTCATAAAAGACTGAAATCTCTTGTTATAGGATGACAAAGGACCCAAATCTCTTATTATGTAAGGACTTGAATACTTTAGGACAGAGGACTCAGGGTCCTTATTCCATAAGGATTCAAGTGTTCTATAACTTAGCACCCAGAGTCCTTATCATTAAGGATTTGAATATGTAATATAAGAGTCAAAGCCCGTGCTATATAATGACTCAAATGACACAAAAATCAAAGTGATCCATTACGTTTGATAAATCTTTATGATATAAAGATAAAATCCTCTTGTCAAAGACTTGGAACCTATTTTACGTATAACCAAGTCCTTCTTGACATAGGACCTAATAATGCTCACATACTTATGGCATAGATAATCTATTTGTACCTTAAATCTTCGAGTGTTGAAGGAGGTAACTTTATGAATAAGTTTCTGGTTAGTTATTAGAGCTCAGAGGCCCGTTTGCAGAAAGGCAGGTTTAGTGAGATCTTCGGTGTACGGATAACATCAAATGGAGACTTTAAAATTCGTAAACACCATGATTTAATAAAATTTATCCTCAGGTGGCGACGAAGGGGTACGTGGGCCTCGGGTTCTCCCCCAACGGCGGGATGGCGGGCTCAGACATAGTGCTCGGCTGGGTCACGGATGGCGGAGAGGTCATGGTGCAGGCAAGTGAACGAACATGATGGAGGCATGCTTTCACAAAGAGAAATTTCAATTTTGCTTGACTGGATGAACTGACGGTGTTGGTTGAGGCAGGGATCAAAACGATTGTTGAATGTTATCTGTCTGTATACTTGATCTTCATCGCTAATCTTAGGATGATGTTTCAGGATAGCTACGCCACGGGTTACAGCCAACCCTTGAAGGATGATCAGCAGGACGTGGAGCTTCTGGGAGGATATCAGAATGACACCCATACTGTACTGAGGTTCTCCAGGCCTTGGTCCACGTGCGACGAACAAGATTTCGAATTATCAGTAGGTAGCTTTACAGAACTGTAAAATAGACAAGAACTCAGTTTATTTAGACATGTATATATATGTATATATTACAGCGAGTTGATTATTTTACAGCCTTTTGAAGGTCACCATCTTATTTCGAAATAACGTTGAACGTATTACTTTCCTGCGAATGCACAGAGCGACACCGTGCGAGTGATCTGGGCCATCGGAAGCGAAGACCCGGCCGGCGACCTGATGAGGAGACACGACCACCGCGGCACAAAGAGCCTCACCCTAAAAGGACCTCAATTCACCCTTCCCAAATTCAGTGAAGACGTAAAACATTGGGATGT